TGAGGCGACAGTGCTAGTTTTTATAGCTTAGTAATATTAGAGCATTGGTTTGGTTTCATGCCAAAAAACATTTTAAAGAGGTGGTTAACTTTTTATCTTTAGGTATTGTGTAATGTAGCTGTATAAGGATAAACAGCAAATGCCAAGTTACAAAACTCAAAGTTTAATGCAAAGGAAGAAACTGTTATTTAAAGAGTTAGCATAGCAAAGCCTACAGCAAGCGTCTGGTTGAAAAACTACAATGAAAGACATTCGGGTTAGTGACATCACAAACCATTCAGTTGACACACCTATTCTCCGGGAGGAACACACAACAAAAGGAGCGTGGCCACATGCTGTTTTATCAGAAAAAGTTACCAGAGTTACCAGGCGCAGGTACCAGAGGGTGACCATTCCTAAGAAAAAAGTCCTTCCTCATGGGAATTTGCCAATGAGGGGTCATCACAAAGACTGTAAGTTCGGAAAATCAGGTCCAGTTGAGCCTCAGAGGTGCAACATGCTCCTTGTCCTCCCAGACCTTGCACAGGGTCTGTGCAAGCAGACTCACTGGAAGAAATGCATATTGCCCAAGCTCTGGCCAGAGCATTTGTGCCAAGGGCAGCCTCATTCAGGGAATTACCCCATGCAACATACACCATCTTAGGACCCATTCATGAAGCCATTGCTGAAGTGGTCTCATATGAAAAATCGTAGTGGTGTGACCAGGATATGCTACAGGAGTCATTGAAAAAACACTTTTCAGGTCAGTAGGACCACTTTTTTTCTTGCCGAACTAGCCTGGCACACTTTTTGATAAACCATCAAGGAGATCGAGTCCAGCTTCATCCCAAGATAAGAGAAACTTTGCATGGGGTAGAGCTTGCTCTTTCCCCAACAGGTCAAGGTGCCAAAACACCGGGTCCCTGTACATAAACAACTGACTGTGCTAACAACAGCCAGTCATCGAAATAGCCAAAAATTCAGATGCCCACTAGGCAAAGAAGCATTAGGCCACCTTCTGCAAGCATCCTTCTGGTCTATAGCTGTAACAAATATCAAGAACGGTGGCATCGGGGGATGCATTTCTGCCTGAGTATTTTTAACAGTATCCTGTGTTGATAACGGTTCAAAATGCCCAGATGGTTATAACCCATAATTTTTGGGTACAATGAAATACGGGCTGTAAAACCAACACTCCATCTCGGCTGGAGGAACAGACTCAATTGTATTCTTTACCAGGAGGGCTGCAATTTCCTCACATTAGACAGGAGTGACTGCGACGTTGACTGCCATGAAATACATACCCGTAATTCTGAAGGCCGTGTGGCGAATCGAATTGCATAGCCGTGTTTGACCTTCTGGATAAGCCACTATGATGGGCAGACTGAGAGAGTCCGAACAAGCAGGGTCACTGGAGCAATCACTGACGGATCTGTGGTGGGGCAGTTCGGGATGGGGAGTGTCCACCTTGGGAAGTGGAGCATCCCGAGGAAGAGCTGAAGTGCGAGATTGGCTCTTACCTTCCTCCCAGGATCCTGCAGAAAGGCTGGAGGTGTGAGAGAAAGGATTCCATCTTCCAAACTGGAAGACAGCGTGTCAAATTGCTGGCAGCGCTTGGGCTTCACACCTAGAGAGAGGAGAAGGTCTAAGATTTCATTAGCCACACATGGCGCACTGCATTTATTTGCAGGTAGAATCCCTGGCCCTACACAGGAGAAAAGAAAGGTCCTTCTCTTCTCCTCTTCATCGGTACTTGGCTTCCCCAGGGTGCCACTAACTCAGGTAAACGGGCAACGAAGCAACCCTGAGGCAGGGGCTCAACATGGCTGCTAGCCAGTGAAATGAGTTTTGCTGGCAGAGCGGATCATGGAGCTGTAGGACAGACTCTCTCACCAAAGAGCAGGTCCCAGCGGGGGAGCATTATTCCAAGCCCACTGGAAGTTGACCTGCCCCATTACGCTCGGCTGTTCTTTCAGCGCAGAGAACTCCTGGGTAACACTGTGGCCATCTTCTTCCCCAGGGAACCATGCAGAGCTCATGCATCAAGCTTGGGGAAGAACTGTTCTCGTGCAGCCCTTGTGCTGGTACTGTGGTGCAGGGCAGAAGCAGCATGGCCCATGTTGTGTGGGCTCTGGCCATAAGAGACACAGATAACCCACATACCTTGGACAGGGGTCTCGACTTACCACTCCAGGTGGCATCGCCATCACTTGGGGAATAACCTTATATACGCGGCCGCCCTGCCATTGCAGGAGATGAAGGCAAAGTTCACAAGGATCAGGTTGAGAAAACCACCCTTCATACCTGGATGAGCTTACTGTGTACCTCACAGAAAGAAGGGGAGGGGGACTGGGAGGATTCCAACTCTCCCAAGATGACACCTTTGCACCCACCGCTGAAGCAGCCTGGGAAGCACAGCCGGAGGGTGGTAGCAGGCCCGGTTTGTCATTGGAACATGACCGCTCACCTTCGATGCTCTGATGGGTGTCTGATCTTTGATGTCATCGGGCGGAAGCATGGCCATCCCAGAGGATGAACAGCCACAATCGCTTGAAGCTTGGATAGGGCGCACTGTGGGGGAGTGGAGTGTCCACGAGCCCAAAGGCAACTGATAAGCGCCCACTGTAATCCTCAGATCTGCCTCTCACATTTAGGGCATGAGCTGTCCACGAACAGTGCATCCACACTGCCCTCTGGCTATTCCTTATGTGTCAAGAACACAATGTTAGAGTTTACGAACTAAAGCGGAATTTAAACTGATTTGGAACAAGTGAAGGAAGAGAAAATGACTTTTTACATTTGGGTGAACTATTCCCAGGGCTCCTATTTCAGAACTGATACAGTTTTTAAAAATAACATTTTTTTAAAATTTATTTCAATAATCTACTAGTTCTAAGTTCAGCTTTAGAGAAGAGAGAGAAAATATGCAGTGTCTGCAGTTTGTGGAGAAGTAGGGTTTGACAGTCAGCAGTAAATGTGCACTGTTCTGCTTTCTCAAGACCAAAACAAGCTGCTTTGTATCTCGATGTGCTAAAATGTTTTCTTTAAAAAAAGCAGTGATTAATCAATTTACACAAAAAGAGTGTAGATATTTTAGATGAAACATGAGATCATCCTCCATAAACAACAATGGTCCTGAGATGTTCAATGAACCAAAAACATCGTCAACCAATTATTCAAAAATTAAAGAACACTTTTATGCACCAAAAAATGGTAAAAACTATTTTTTTTTTTGTCTTTGTCTTTGTCTTCTGCATCAAGTCAGTTTACTATGGGCAATACAATGCTGCTGACTCGAATGGCAAAGACATCGTACTGCACATAGAAAATGTGCACCCTGACCTACCATAAATGAGAAGACAAGGATGAACAAAGTTATTTTACCTTTTTTTTTTAATGCACAAAAGTGTTATTGGAGCTTCATATGATCACAGTTGAATCACTAATGTCACATAAAGTTTTTGACAGTGTTTTAGGTTTTGTTTCTGGATTTTGAATGGAAATTTTCATTTTTGGGTGAACTAACCCTTTAGACACAACCCTTTAAGACCCTTTATCAAATAAATTCTGCATTCTGTTTGCTATTGAAAGGCATCCAATCTTAATTCAGTTCCGGTATAGTGCTGTTCTGTTAATAAAATTAATGGCAAAAGTTAATAAGAGGTAGTTTGATTAACAATTTATGGCTTTTTGGGGTGCCATTATTGTCATGCCATTTCTGTATACAAAGTCATTCAAAATGGTAAACATTTTACTGTCTTCTTTGATTATATTTAGCCTTGATACAAATAAAAAAAGATTGCAGTTATATTAACAGTTAGCAGTTATATTATTTATATTATTATATTAAACAGTTATATTAACACTGCAGTTGTATCTTTTCTGTTCTCTGCAGGTGTCGATTTTAGTTTGCCTACATATATTATGTGCCATTGAGAGTGAATAAGAGCAAACAACTCATGACCTCACGGTGTTTGGAAATACCCATTCGGCATCCCGAGGAAGAGCTGAAGTGAGAGATTGGCTCTTACCTTCCTCCTAGGATCCTGCGCAAAGGCTGGAGGTGTGAGAGAAAGGATTCCGCGTCCCATGCTGGCAGCGTTTGGGCTTCACACCTGGAAAGAGAAAAAAAGTCTCATGTTCCATTAGCTACACATGGCACACTGCATATATTTGCAGGTGGAATCCCCAGCCCCCCACAGGGAAAAGAACGGTCCTCCTCTTCTCCTTTTTGCAGCCTCGCCATTGCAGAAGATGAAGTTCACAAGGATCAGGTTGAGAAAAATCGCCCTCCATACCTGGATGAGCTCACTGTGTACCCCATGGAAAGAAAGGACGAGGGACTGGGAGGATTTCAACTCACATATTAGCCCCCAAGATGAAACCTCCGCACCCTGGGAAGCACAGCCATTATGCCCGATTCCAGATGCGTGACCACACTTTGCACCCCAGAGGGTGGTAGCTGGCCCCCGATGCTCGCCTCTGATGCTCTGATGTGTGTCTGATCTTTGATGTCATCGGGGGGAAGTGTGGCCATCCCAGAGGATGAACCAGCACAATCGCTCAAAGATTGGATAGGGCGCACTGTGGAGGAGTGGAGGGTCCATGGCCTGGAGGCGACCGATAAGCGGCCACTGTAATCCTCAGATCTGCCTCTCACAGTGAGGGCATGAGCTGTCCACAAACGATGCATCCACACTGTCATCTGGCTATTCCTTATGTGTCAAGAACACAATGTTAGAGTTCCCGATCCTACGCGGAATTTAAACTGATTTGGAACAAGTAAAGGGAGAGAAAATGACTTTTTACATTTGGGTGAACTATTCTCAGGGCTCCTATTTCAGAACTGATACAGTTTTTGAAAATAAAGATGTTTTAAAATTCAGAATAGTAATCTACTTATTCTGGGTTCAGCTTTACACAAGAGAAAATATGCAGTGTCTGCAGTTTGTGAAGAGGGAGGGTTTGACAGTCAGCAGTAAATGTGTGCTGGTCTACTTTCTCAAGACCAAAACAAGCTGCTGTGTATCTCGATGTGTCAATGTGTTTTCTTTAAAGAAAGCTGATATTGATCAATCTACACAAAAATGTACAGAAAACTGCTATTTGTGATGGGTATGTATTGATTTACAGTGTTGAATATACTGTATATTTGTGTTTATAATATTGTTTGAAAACATGTTGCGCTTGTTTTAAACTCAGGCAAAAGATAAAAAAAAATTTAAATCATAATGAATTCAATTAATCTTAATAACTTCGTTCTGAATTGTGTTTCCACTCATTATTTGGTGTTTTGCAGTACTGTGTAATGCAGCTGGGTTTAACATTCAGATATCTCCAGTGAAACATTTCACAAATGAGGATCCACTCTTTGACCAAACCATCATTCAGGCAAAAGATGGGTTGGTAATTCTAAACATATAATTTTTTATTTAATTTTATTTTAGATGTGTTCTGTAACATGTTACTGCTTTGTTCTGTTCTAGAATTTTTGTTCCCTCCCCAACATATGGAAGACTTTTCAAGTGCACTCTAGACAATGAATGCAAAGTAAACATTAACGGTAAGTTTATCTTTGCCTTTTTTTTTTTTATAACAGATCATTTGCAGAAATATAATGTTATTTTTTAATATAATGTTATTACTTATTTACAGAATTAAAGAGATGTTTCACAAAAACATTTTTAATTACCTCATCATTTACTCACACTCAGTTGGTTCTAAACAGTTTTCAATTCTTCTGCTGAACACAATTAAAGATATACTAAAGAATGTTGAAAAAACTGCTGTGGATTTCAATGGTTGTTTTTTCCAAACATACTTCAGTATCTCTTCCTTTGTGTTCAACAGAAAAAAGAAACTAAATAATGACAGAATAAAAATAAATTGGAGTGAACTAACCTTTTAAGCAGAATTGTAAAAATGTTTTACATAAATGTCTCTTTTAAAGATGAGAACCCAAAAGGCATGAGAACAGTAGCATCAGTGGCTAGCCTGACATCACAGGAACAACATGTTGTGGTATGTACAAACACAAGGAGGTCTTATATAATTGGACAACATTTCCTTTATTCTCAATGTGATTATAGTACTAAAAGGTTTAGCTACTAATTGAGAAGTAATAGTAGTCTTAGTATATGCATAATCAGATATAGTTTGCAAAATTGGCAGTAAAACCCCAAAAAACTGTGGTTTACTCCTCACACATGTGACAGACTAAAATGTATCAGTTTTTGTTCATAGTATAGTAAAAGTCATTGTGAAAGTTGGAAAATTAGTTTGTAAAATGTGAAACATAACTAGAAATTGTTTTTTAGGGGAATTGTATTAGTTTTGATTTGTTGAGAAGTTGGGAAATTGTTCAGGATGACGTGACTATCATGAGAAGGTCATCAAGGCTTAGAGTTACAAACGTGGCATCATTTGAAGCCATAGTGATGGCACTAGGCATATCTGGTGTGCTGTCTGGGGAGAGGGCTCTGAGCTCGGAGGGACACCCTAGTTGTGTTATTCTCCTCGTCAGGAAATAGAGAGGGAGAGAGAGAGAGAAAGAAAGATAGAAAGTGAGAGTGGTCAGAACGCAGTGTCAAGCCTGACATCAGAATTCTCCCCCCAGATAAATTAAGGTGGAGCAACTGGGTGGTGGTGGGATGCTGGTGATTGAGAGACAATGGGGTAAGCCATACATGACAATTTATAAGGGTTTGGTTATAAAGGGTTTTACTGATTTGATAATGATATGATTAGCTTGTCGATGATCTTCACATCATTCATTCATTTTCTCTTCGGCTTAGTCCCTTTATTAATCTGGGAATGAACTGCCAACTTTACCAGCATATGTTTTAAGCAGCGGATGCCCTTCCAGCTGCAACCCATCACTGGGAAGCATCCATACATTTTCATTCACGCAAGCACGCACGTACAAACACGCACACATACTACGGACAATTTTGGCTTACCCAATTCAACTATACCATATGGTTTTGGACCTGGAGGAAACCCACGCGAACATGGGGAGAACATACAAACTCCACAGAGTAATGCCAAATGACCCAGCCGAGGCTTGAACCAGAAACCTTCTTGCTGTAAGGCGACAGCACTACCCACTGCGCCTCTCTAGCAAATTAGTTTATAAAATTTCACTTAAAATAAAGCAATGATCATTTATGAATTTTCCAATAGTATGGGTGCAGACTTGCACATGCCAGCTGCACATGCTACGCAGTCTCAGACATGCAATGTTAGACACAATGCAATCAATGGAGCTAATGATCGGGTAGAGTCACTGAGAGGTATGGAGGTCAGCATAAGCTGTGCGTATTAAATCATTGTATGCAGCTCAGCTCACAGCTGCACCAGATCCCTCTTTAAATTTCAGTTAGAGTCAGTAGGTCGCTGCGAGATAGTAAAATTTAAAAATCTTCAATAACCTCTGTGCAATATTTATTTTAGCTGAATATGAATGTGAATGACGAGTGAAAATGCTGTAATTGAGTTTTTTTTTGTTTTCCTCTTTCAAGATGTGTAATCAAGTTAGAACGGAGAAGTCAGGAACTGAGTATTTGAATGGAAATTGCACACTTGTGAGTCCTTCTGGAAAAGTCAAGCTATCTCCTGCTGAATTAGGTATGTTTGGTTCATTTACTATGGGGTCTTCACATTCAACCAGATAAAATCTTATACCTGAAATTCCTAAATCTCTTTTTCCAAGACAACAACAACAACAACAACAACAACAACAACAACAACAACAACAAATACCAAGGTGGAAGGATCAATCAAGGTGAGACTGTCTTAAGGAAAATGTAGATAGTGTTGAATTTATTTATAATGCATGATAATTAATAATGTATGGAGGGAAAAAACATAAAATGTGCCAGAATAAGCCAGGATGGCTAATTTACATCTTTCTTAGGTCCTGGGACAGAGATTACTTTCGTTTTGGATGGCTCTGGCAGCATTCAAGATGATGACTTTCAGAAAGCGAAAGACTTCATCTACAATGTCATGTCCAATGTTTGGAAAACATGTTTCGATGCAAGTATAAAGAAAAAAAATCATGGCACAAAATACAATTCAATTCATATTAACTTTACATTAACCCCTCTTCTCTCTGCAGTGTAATTTTGCAATAGTGCAATACGGTAGTTTGATCAGAACTGAGCTCTCGTTACTAGACAATGAGGATCGCGCGGGATCCTTGCTAAAGGTCAAACAAATAAAGCAAATTTACAATCTCACAAAGACGGCCTCTGCCATCAATCACGTCCTGTGAGTCGACAAACAATTTTTACAGCATTTGGAGATGACTTAATGGTGTGATTTTACAATGTTGTGGTTGATTACAGCACAGATATCTTCATCCCTGAGAATTGATCAAAAAATAACTCTGCAAAAATAATAATCGTCTTGTCTGATGGAAAGATTCTGGGAGACCCTATGACTCTTGATGAAGTTTTGAACAAGCCTAAAATGAAAGGTGTCACTCGCTACTCCATAGGGGTAAGTGTCCCATTTACTGCAAAGTTTAGATAATTTTAGATAATCCAGACTGATCTCAATGGAAAACATAACTGTTTTATAAAATATGAATATGAAAATGTATTATTTTTAAAAGAAGTCTTGACCCAAATTCTACACCCATATCAAACTGTCATTGGGAATGAGCAGTTTGTACTAAAATGTTATGAGATCATATGAACATCAAAAGTTATAAATTGCATTGAGATTGTATTGGATAATCCCAATTTTACATCATATGTTGGAGCAACAACTGCAAAAAAAGTAATCTGTAATCATAGATAACTCTGGTTCCCCTTCGGTTGGGGAACTTCAGTGCTATAAAGTGGATTTGATCTTGGAAAATCCACTTATGGGAGGATTCGGTTCAGAAGCCGCTTGTCTGAAAGAGTATTGAACAGGCCAATGAAAGCAATGAATTTGAAGCGTAAGCTTGCGCAGGTGCGCTTCAATGCCAATTATCCCAGCATATAAGCACACCTGGAGCGAGCAAACACCATCCTTTTCACTTCAGAGACTTTCTGATCGAGTCGATGAGGGTTCCTCCTGCTGTAATCCAGTGATTCCGAGCGAACGAGAGCATTCTCCCGGTTCAGAGTGTGTGCACATAGCGGCAGACGGTCGAGCTGGGTTTCTCCCTTGCCTGGCGTTCTTTGGGTCCGGTCCTCCAGAACGGTGCGTAAAAAGTTGCAACTTCACAAAGAGAGCAACACAGTCGTGCAGCACGTCCTTTTCAGGAAGGCGCTCCGACTGTACGTTTCTGGATACGGTGGTTTCCTGTCCTCAGATGATGGGCACGGGCACTGCGTTGCATGCCTGGGGGGTCCAGCATGTTAATGCGCTGCTCGTGGGCAGTTCATGTCGTCATTCCGATGCCATGACTGTTGCGCAGTAAAGATCACGGCTAGCCTTAGCAAAAGGGCAAACCACCCCAGGTGTCCCCTGCTCTGCAGAGGGCACTCGGGCAGATCTGAGGGTTCAGCGAGATAATCCGTTGCCCACTGGCTTGCGGACCTCCCGCTCCTCCAAGCGCTCCATCCAAGCTTCGGGCGGGGGAATCGATCCGTCTTACAGATGGTAGCCCTTACGCTCGATGACACCAGAGACCAGACATCCACCGCGGCATCGGAGGGTGGGCTTTCACTGTCCGATGATGATCCAGACCCGCTCGCCCCCTCCAGGCAGGTGAGCGCTGTCAAAACGGATCCTGAAATGGACATGTTAGCCATGCTTTCCCGGGCTGCTTCGGCCGTGGGTTGGAGATGGTTTATCCCCCAGTTCCGTGGCCGGACCGACTAGAGGGGCGTTCCCTTCTTTCTGGAGGGGCACAGTAGGCTCACGCGGTCTTAAAAAGCACTTTTTTCTGCTCGTGCTGTGTGTCCCTCCACCCTCACCACTCATGACGGTGGAACAGCCAGGGGGTATGTGGCGATTCCTCAGGTTGAGTGCGCGATGGAGGTCAATCCGCGCGGCACCTCTTCTTGCCGGGGTCCGCCTCGTCTCCCATCCAAAGCCTGTGAGTTATCTGCCTCCCTTGGAGCTAGAGCTTACAAGGCTGCGGGCCTGGCTGCTTCCGCCTTGAATGCTATAGCCACCTACCAGCACTACCAGGCGCAGGCGCTGGCCGAGCTGCACGAGGGTGGGTCCAACCCAGGCTTATGAGCTTCGCACCGCAGCCAATTAAGCTCTTCGGACTACTAAGTCCGCTGCGGGTGCGTTGGGGAGGACGATATCCACACTCGAGATCCAGGAGCGCCACTCCTGGCTGATATGCGCGAAGTCGACAAAGTCTGCTTTCTTGACTTCCCCATATCCCAAGCTGGCATGTTCGGCGACACCGTCTGTGAATTCACCCAGGAATTCGAGGCGGTGAGAGAGCAGTCTGATGGGTGATGTCTTATTGGCGGGTCCGAAGTGAGCGCGTCGAGCACCTCGGAAGCAGGCAGCCCCCCCTGCCCAGAACGCCGCTAAGTCCGGCAAAGGACCGCGAAGCGTCCCTGTTACAGGCCATCTGAAGAAGAGGGAACTTGCTCTTTC